AAGACAAAGTCAGCGTGAAAGGCTGGAAAGAAGAAGTCAGCATCAATTTATAAATTGGCTCATCGAAAATAAAATAGATGAGAGGAATTTAATTCAAGAAGTGCAGAGAGCTATAGATAAAGCCCTTGGGCAACGATATCCTGTATATCGCAAAGCACGTCTACTTTTCCCTTTGGTCGTTGGCTGCATGCCTAAGGTTCTAAAAAGCAAAATCACGAAGAAAACAAAATCAAAGTCTCTCAAGGTTGCATTACGAGTATTTAACCATTGGAGAGTTTGATTATGCCTGGTTGGTTACTTTGTAACATATCTAGTCCCATCAATCTGAATTAATGATCCCTGATGTTTTATTTGGCGTTTACAAACTTGCAAACAAATTGATGTTATAAACTACTTCTAAGAACAATAAACCTTCGGGATTTAACATAACTTAGATCGGTATTTGACTTACATTCAAGCAGTCTATCTTTCAACTTCCTCTTTCTAAGAAAGCAGATATGTATTGGAATCAATTGATAGATACATTTTTAAAAAGATGGATATAGACTCTGTTATCCTTCATTGATTCATTCAACAATTGGCATTCGTCACAAGAAAGCCAGTAATCCCACTGCGATCGCGCCCATGAAGTATTCCACTTGAAATAGGTTTGATCCCTCTTCTTCAGCACCACACGTAGTTGATCATCGCCCGAGAAACATCCACTTTCATCTCTACAAAGATTGCATAGAGTATAGATATTGATTCGTCTCTTTGCTGGGAGGAAAAATGACAAAGTGGCGGCTAGACGCGATAATGGATCGTATGGACATATGATGATATTGTATCGCTGATAGTCACTTTCCAGACAGGAGACACATGACCAGGTAATAGTACCCTTCATTTTTGGGATAAGGCTCTGGAGAAGCTTTCAATGGGATGATTCACTTGATAATACGCATCCGCCTTAGGAGTCGAGTAGTCGAAGTAGCCAGCGGTCAGTTATAGCAGTATGTGGGAAAAGAAAGTGCCTGCACTAGCAATCATTCGAAGAATTCTTGTCGATAATGCCGATCGTTTTAAAGGGATTTCCGCTTACTCAATTACAAAAAGCAGATAGTGGATCGTCAATCACGTCACGCCAGACAGCACCACGATCGTTCATTTCGATCTTGGTGAGTAGTATCGTTGACTCACAGAAAGTGCTGGTCGAATCAAAAAATCGGCGCAGTTGCAATCGGAGGGCAAAGAGCTGGCTCGCCCATGGTTCACAGTAGTGGTACGGTGACCTCAGAGAAGTGAGTCAGAATGAAGGTCCTCAGCATTATGCTGCGCGTGCGCAAGTGCTATTGTGGAGGACTGTGGTAGGCCATTGGTCTACTTTGAAGAGGCCCGTCAAAATTGCGTGCGGTTTCATATTACCTCCGATTGACTATGCCCAAGTTCTGACGGTCTATCTTGGGAGCCAAACGGCCAAGTTGGTTCTGATCAGAGTTCTTTGATTGCACTTCGAAGAAGAGCGAGTTCCTACGCTATTTTCATCCAAGACCACTTCTTGTGCGAATTCCTGCATGTCCAGATGTTCTATTCAAGGGCTGAGATTCACTGACGAAGGAAGAGTGGGAGCTGCGAGGCTGCAGAGAGCTCTGAGTTCTTGGTGGTTGTCAATATACTCTGATTATGGCATTACTATCAAAAATCCCATGGCATATCAACTTAGTGAATAACTGTCTCCAATTCTCAACTTTTGGCGGGACGCACTTTTGTGTCTTTCGTAGAGTAGTGTATGCCCAGCACCCGCTACTTGAGGAGCGGTGCTTTTTGCTGGAACGGCCGAAATGTAATGGAAAGCGATTCCAAGGACGCTGTGGAGAGTTTTCGGGAGTCGCACAAAACCGAGCAATCTCTCATTTAGCATCGTTCTCTGAGGGCTTCTGGCTTTCCTCGCTGATCATTCACTGTCGTTCACTCAACGTTGAGGCACCAGAGTGGAAATGGTGGCCCCACTTCGACCCACGGGCCGCACCGGTGTGGATCCAAGGTACCCGGTGTTGGCTCAACTTGAACGACTGTGCATTGTTATGGTCTTGCCAATTTGGGCTGCCCATGGTTCACATTATGCTTGAGAAGGAATGGCAACTCTGATCGTTCCCTCCAGGGCGTGTCTTGTGTGGTGTGTTCACTTCTCGTTGTCCGTCCATACAAAGGTCGTAGAAGCGGAGCGAGTAAATCCATTTTTGTTGTTTGTAGGTATTTATTTTTCCGCTACTTAATGGGTGAGAGAAAAGTCAGGAAAGTAGTCAAGTCAGGAATTAAAATGAGGCCTCATGGTGCTCGCCTCAACTTTCACTTTTCAACAAGTATCTGTCATTCCAAATATTGTTGATCAAGCTCCTGTTTGCTCATCCCCGTTGAGTCAACTGATTCGCGAGTGAATAAAGTTTACGACCTCATTCGGTCATCCCTAATTTGAGTGACTGGGACTCGTACTTTATTTCAAGAATGACAGTCTTTCATTCCGCACATTCTTGGGACGTCTCATGTTTGCTCATCGCTGTTGATTGAACCGAATCCGCTGGTGAATAAACTCTGGTCTCTCAATTAGCCACTGCTCCACTTTCTTGGGGGCATTATCTGGCATTTTACCTGAAATCTTAATCCTTGCCAACTATCTGTCATTCGGTCTTTGCTGCTCCTGTTTGCTCACCACTGGTGAGTAGCCATGTTGATTGAGCGCAGAAAACTGCTCGCTGGAATGCTATGTTCGCTCTTGGATAGAAAGAACTAGCAAGCCTCACAATCTGCCACTCTTGAGTCCTGACTGGAGCGCTGCAGAACTAAGCGAAAGACGAGGAACTCCGCCCTGGGAGGTATAAATATGCCCCCATCGTCTTTCTTGACGTTCCTCTTGCATCTCTCCTCGCACATATCATTTACGAAGATTGACTTTGATCATTTCTTTCGTCAACTACTTGTAAGTATACCCAGCCATCAGCTCAAGCCTAGCTATCTCTCACTGATAACACTCTTTCTCTAGGACTGATATACGAGGACTTGAGTACGTGAGTAATGTACCACCCTTCCTTAGTTAAAGCTTACACTAACACCGTTTATTACTCGGGTTCCGCTAGGCTTCCAATACATCCACCGCAGCACGCAAAATCTCTACCAAAGTGAGGTCTTGATTTCATCCGACCCATGAAAAAGGCACTATGTCCTATCTAACGATCTCACAATAGAGCTTCTCGAACGTTCGGTCCAGTCCAGATCCGAACACATTCGATGACAACCATGACAGGCTCTCTACCCCTGGTAGGTGACGGTAGAGTCTTTTTATATGGTAGGCCCAATAACAACCCCATGAGGTCAATCGCTGATCAAACGAACTTGTATCACGAGAATCTTTCACAGAAAGGTGAATGGATTGATACATCATGAATACCGGCGAACGCTGAATGTGATCTGTGTCCCCCGACCTTTGATTGAGTTTTTGTACTAAAGCTGACTTCCCTTCTATGGCAGAAATCTTCACGGCCCCCTCCCCAAGTTCCGGTGTGGGCTATCCCAGATGCCGGATAGCCATTCACCAGGCTTCGCTCAGCCCTTGCTGATTGTGTCGTGGTCCAAGTAATTGAATGATGGAACTGCCAGCCCCCATCGACCCTATTGACTCCAACACGGCGTGTATAGGTTAACCTCGCCAATTTGCTCCTCGATGAAGAAAACTCATTGTCAGTTCTATCCCATTGGTATTTTTTATGCATATTGGGAGGGCGTTCAGCTGACAATAGCGAGCTTCGTACACTCAATGGGCATAGAGTCCGCAGTCACGCAGGCTAATCTTCATATCTCAAGCTACATATTATCGGTCATTTCAGAGATCCGAGGACTGCGTCTAGTTATGCAGCCATGTTGAACGACCTCTTCGGTTGCAAGGGTTGCACTGCCTCCTGTTTTCATATATATCAACTACTTTCGGCATTGACAAGAGTATTCCCGCCCATGCTGACCTATCCTTATTCCTCCTCTCTGGGTGCTAATATTGCCTGTAGTGCGACTGGTTACCGACGCGCTCCCCATACACCCACTCCATGCGCGTATCAGCTGAACATACCCTTCGACGCCTGCTCTGAACACTTAGCCCCAATCGCACTACGAGTCTACTATAAGAAGCGCATTACCCACATTACCCAACAGGTGGCTTTTTATCGCGTCCGCCCCCCGCATTTACATTCGTATGGCTGACTATCGTTCCAGCAGACCTCTCACGTCGATCGAAAGATTTGTTACCTGGTCCCTGCTCATTCCATTGGTAATGCCGTCGTCTCTCATCAAAGGCTTGGTTTTAAGCGGCATTAGACGCGAGGCCTGCTGCAGTACAGGCTCTGGAGGTTAACAGTGGACGGCTAGCGTGGCTCCCTGTCTTACCTCACCCAAGTTGACCCCTACCGAAATGAACAGTTTATGACAAGACCTGCTGTTGGATCGGTATTATGAATTCCGATGGAGGATCTGCATTGTCATTGGACAGGCCGCTTTTCATCAGCGTCTTCCGCGTCGGCATCTGTGAACATGCTGTTGAGACGTGCTCTTGGCATGCTGTGAGCTGAGGGTTTTCAAGGTGGGCTTGACTTAGATCTAGAGGCAGAGCTATTGAAGAGTACCACTCATATGCCTGTGGTGGCCATCTCGCTGTCGGCATGGCCACTTATGATGCGTCTGCGGTATAATTGATCGTCGGTTGGAAGGGGTGATACCCGATAATGCATAATGCGAGAGGATAAAGCTGGTTGAAACTTGACTCTTAATATGGAGATCTGAGGAGCCAATTCCAATGATGCGGCTCCGTTCCGGCACCAGCCTCAAACACGCCAGCTTCGTGCCCATGTGGCGTGCGTGTACTTTCGGGTGGGCCGACTTATGGAGCAACTGCATACCAAGAGAGTGCCAACCTTTCTGTTGCCTTATGACTTCTCAAGACGGCCTACGTTGACGGGACCAGGTTTGGGTCGCTTTCCTAAATGGTCAGAGGCGCCGCACTGGACTTGCCACAGCTAACTTCGCGTGACGTCATTTCCCAAACGCGTCCAATTGGGCTTCTCCGCAAGGAGTTCATCTCACAAGTGAGCATCAATGCAAGAACTTTGAATCATTCTACTTTGCGCTTTTCTAGCGGCTAGTTCTTTTTTATCTTGTCTTCTCGCCGGGGCGACACCAGCTCGCGCACCTGACAATCTTAACTTTTGTGAGCGTCAAACCTGTCAAAGACCAACAGAAAGCAGGCCTGCAGGAGCTCCAACGGTCCGCATATGGCTCTATGGAGGGCAACTTGGGTTTTGACCCAGTTCACGCTAATCGAGCAATCAGACTTACAACCAATTTTGACAGCGCTGCGTTGACAGGGATGCGACGTTCAACAGTGGGATAAGCAGCAAGGTCAACTGAAAACTTGACTCCATGAGAGGTCTTCCAAATATGGCGGGGGCATATTTTGCCGCAGCATAGCAACTTGTGGGCTTTCACCGCGTCCCTGAAGCTAAAAGTCAACTAGTCCGATTTCATTGGGATAGCTCTCAAGCGCAGCTCGCCCTGATAGGGCTTTAGCGGTGTGGTATTCGAACTTACCTACTCGCTCAGCTTTTTCGTCTAGAACGAAAAGGTCGGGCTCTACCAGATACCAATACACTACCGCGCAATGGAATTGTTGGCACGGCCGCTGCCTGGTGGGCCCTCGTGGGATATTCTGAGTTTGCGGCAATTAATGGCATTCAACGCGACCACAAAGCTTGAAGTCACGGTCTTGACATTAGAGGCTTCTCAAATGGAGGTCTTACCATGCTGGGTGCCTCTATCAATCAGATACTACTCGTCTACTTTGACCTAAATGAGCCGGTGATGGTTTCACTGCAGCGAACCACGGTCGGAGTAGAGTCCAGGCAAGGAGGTCGCTTCCCTGCCCATGGCGGGTGATTCTACTATGAGTGATGCATGATTTTCCCAGGCGGGTCTAGGGTCCCATTGCCAGATATACAAAATTTTATTCTCGCGTGCTTACGAGATGTCTTTATGCGGCCAGGCGGCTTTCAGTGCCTGCTACGTCGCAACAACTGATCATTGAAAAAATTACCTGCCCTTGTTGAGGTCAAATAAAACATCTATCCGTCTATTTGCCATCGCCGCACACTTGACCATCCGTACGATACCGTCTACCGCTGTCTGACCCCTGAGCGACATTTCAAGCCGACAGGGCAGAGCCACCCTCAAATGCCAGGAATAAGGGTTGCTTTCACGGAAGGACACCGTTTCCTCACAGCAGGATACAATTCAGCACGTATTGCTCTCTATTGACTGATACGCCTAAAGTACGCTGGCGGGAATGGCTGGCTCAACTCCTCGATGTTCGAGCTAAAGTATCCTCAAGTCTAGACAAATGCGAAAGCAGATGCTAGAGTAGCCTGGGGTCACAGAGGATTCACTTCTTTGACACTGAGAATACAATTGGTCTTTGCTTTCCGCTTCAGATTGGAGCTTCTGATCGATTCACGGGTCGCCTTCCATTAGGCCAAATCAAATCCCCTCCCATTCAAAGCCCCCCAATTAATTCGAAATCTAGGTGATCGGCGGAGTGGCGTAGATGGGCGTCCCTCTCTGACCAGTCTAGCTGACCTGCGGGGCAGCGTTCGAGGCCTGTCTGGTTGCACTGCTTCCGCTTGCGAAATCTGTTCTGGAATGGACCTGTATACAGAGGGGTGGTAATCTGCCGAGGGAGTCTCGCACGGGACGACTGCATTGATGTCCCCGTTTCTGGCTGCGGCTGTGCTCATTTGGATCTTCAATGGCCGCCCGCGTAACATGGCGACGTGGGGTTCTTTACTTCGGCTGCATCTCATTAGTATCCATGTGTCTAGGAGATGCATTCATTACACTAACCAGATGCAGCATGACTCGTGCATCTCAGGTCTGCATTGCTTCAACCACTCCTCCATACAACCCAAGTGTGACAATGCTTGGCAGCGTCGACACTGCAGAATTACATTCTCGTCGGTAGGATTCCCATTCTCGGCGAGACAAAAGATGCAGTATATGTCATCGACGTCTGTGCCGATTTCCAGACGGCGGACCTTAACGCCCTGCATCCCCGGCTGTATGTGGAAGGTCAAAGTCGAGGCGGCGCTCTCAAGAGGATCAGTGAGGCGATTTAACTCGTGAGGAGCCACCGAATCTGCAGAAACTCTCCCGCTTTGATTTTCGTACGACACCTGGTCGGCCATGTCTTCGCCATTGAGCTCTTGCATAGAAGTGGTGCTTGCGTGGGCCAGCTGTGATTCTGCCTGCGCACGGCTGTTGATAAAAGTCTCGCCAGGCCGCTCATCAAGATTTCTTCCGCGACCCCAAACACGAAGAAAACCAACAAAAATCTCGCGCAGCATCGAATGTTTGGGAAGAGGATCGTAAGGCCAGACGAACTGGTACAGTGCGAGGGGGCGTTCGTGCCCCGGCTTTATAGATGGTCACTGGATGGCTTATTGATATCACCTCAGCGTCGCAAGCAGTAGACTTGCTACATCTATAAACCATACCAGTGAAACCACCTACATTCCCCGGTCAGCGTCATTTCATAAATTCTATCTTCAGATAGCGGAGAGGTACATGATCTAATCGGGCTGAAGGGCCACCCTGTTTGATCGGTACGGGGGGATCTACTTTGAGAGAGTTCCTAATATTCTGGTATCGATCCTAACGAAGAGTATATTGATTCTTTGATTCCCAAAGTCGATAATGATGGTATTTTCGACAATTCATTTTGCGATTCAATCGGGCGTTGACCGTACTCTAGTTCTCAAGGGTCATCTGGCACTCCATGACGCTAATACCGAAAAGTCCTCATTACGAACAACCGGCTCAGTTTTACAAACTCCTCCGGCATCACCACACAGGGAGCGTGGATACTATCGGATTTTGTACACTCCAAAAAGGGTCTATTCAAATCTAGCAGGTGCAGAACCAAGGAAGCGGAAAAAGAGGCCCAATTCGAAGCTTTCGGGAAATCTGAATGACACATCTCTTTCCGACCGACTCAGTCAGAAATCTATTGAGTTGAATCGTCAGAATGACATTCAACAAGTCTGCAACTTCTTACTTCTGACAAACTTGCTTCGCCCTCATTCAGTGCTAACTAATCATTCATTCTAGGCTGACGATGACCAGCTTAAGAGCACCTATCATTCGAATCCCGACGTCGATGATTCCTCGTCCTATCACGCAGATTCCGCGTATACAGTAAAGGCAATGTCATCAATATTGTATGAGTGCGCGAGGGTCAATTTCGCCATTGCTCTATACGGGGTTCGAACAAGCGATGCCGTGACAACAACCAAACCTGACCGTATCCGGAAATATGTCGATGACCTTGCCAAAGTGGACTATGGCAAGACAATTTATATTATTCGCAGGGGCAATGCTTTGGCCATGGGCAGAGGCGTTCAAAGCCGATACAATGAAACCATCTATTGGAGCATCATTCTTAAGGGCGCTGCGTTGGTCGATCACACAAAGTTGCCGACCGCGAAAGGGCCTGCGGACGGATTCACCATGGCGGAAAAGGCCGCAACTAAGAAGTTCATGGAAGATGCTGGGTACGCCCTGGGTGCAGAAAACCAGCGGCAATGCCGTATTTTCTGGAAGAACTTATTCGAAATACGTGAAGCCGGCATTGACAAAGTCCTATATTACCGCACCAAAGAATTCGATAGCTACTGCAGGGGATATCCAAGAACGTCAGCAACCCCCTTGTGGACACAATAATGAACTGGGAGGCCCACCATCGATCAGACTCGAAAGGCGACCTTAGGCACCTTTCTGGTCTCGAGGCCCCTCAAGTTGCAGAGAGGCTGAAAGTTCAGGGGTCTTCTTGGAATAATGCCAAAAATGAATGGGCCTTCACTGGTGAAGAAGAGAATTTCAAGGAAAAGAGTTTGCGAACGTTCCCGCCTGAAGTTTTATGCACATCCCACCATGGCCAATTGATATCAGAATCTGGGAGAGATAAGTCCACATTTACTTTTCTCCTGCCTAGAGATAGCAGCTCTTTGTTCGTCTGCTCCATTGTTCCCGTAAGCGAGGGAGACTTTCTTGGCATATTTGCTGGTAAGATTCGCTTTTCCGAGGACTTTAGCGCTACCCACGGCATCCCAGGTGCAGTCGAAAATCTGTGGCTAGATTACTCACAAGTCACTGGCACTATGAATCAAATGCTGGTCGCAGAACCGAATGGTTCCGCGAACGTGCGCCTCCAATGGCAAGTCGTCGATGATGACAGTGGGACAGAGAGTTACACTTCTTGGAAAGTATTTGTGAAAGCCATTGCGTCATAAAACCGTTTGAACCTTTTGTTCGCGTCGCAGCTAACCAGGAGCAGTATGACCTGCATTCATCCTCTGAGAACGCAAAAAGAGGATTTCTTGAACTTTACGAAACTGACTGAAACAGCGTTGATTTATTTATGTTGCTGTGTATAGATATTAGTTGTATTCAGGCCTAGCTATGATTTGTGTGTGTAGTCACTTGAAATTAATTTTGACTGATATCTTTACATCCACCATCTTTGATATGCGAATGAATAATTTGCTTTCTTGCCGCGATCTTATGAGAACGGGCTTATCAATCTGGCAGAACATAAGCGGCAGTCTATAAGCCAATCATTTGCTGCCGAGCCGTATGGTATCGCGAATCTCTGTGCATTAGTGCTATTGGCTATGTGATGATTGTCACAGCAAAGCCCTTCTAGTTTAAAAGACGTTTACGCGTTTCAACCACTTCGAGCTCTCCACCACCCCTCTTATAATATTGAAATGCAGAGCAGAGATAAACATAATGAGTCCTGGACGGTAGTAATGATATTCTGAAACGTGCCCATTAGCCACTCAACATGACTAACCCTCAGTGGAGTAAATTGTTTAGCGTTGGTCAATCCAAAGAACTTAGGTTTAATAAGCTTCATTGACCAGGAGAACGTTCTCATCGTAGAAGGCCACACGTCTCAGCAAACATCAATGCCAGCCTAGTATAACTGCTAATTGCTCTCCACAGTTTCCTTGGATGGTAATATACCAAAGTTCTGGTTCCCATTGGCCTCGAAGTAGTGGCCATCTGCGATTCTCTGTGTACCTTCACCGAACAAATTGTACTGGCGGCTGTTCTCGCCGTACTGGTTTGCAGCCCCGGGCTGCTCAGCTAGATCCGAATCTGACAGTGAAGGACAAACTCCCGCTAGAACTTCGCGACCCTTCGCCAAAAGGTGGATATGGCCGTGCATTTCACCCAGAAATGCCTTGTGAGTAACCAATGCTCCTAAGCCTTCCAGAATGCTATCCATCAAAGTCTCCACACGCTGCTTTCCTTGCCTCATCACTATGCCATGGTACACGGACAAGTTGTATTCGCCGTTTGACTTTTCACCAAGCTGCTCAAATATGTCCAGTAGGCTGTCGGCTTTCTCGTCGCAACTATACAGGATGGATTTCAATGCCGGGACATCTTCAACGGTCTTCAATTTCTCCGCCGAGCTTTTGAAATTTCGCAAAGTCCTTTCAACAAGAGGAAGCCAATTACTGGTTTCCTGAAAAGCTTCCGGTAAGTCAGAGAGGTCTTTGATAGAGTCAAATGCCGCCATTAACTTTTCTATGACCCCAATGAGGCCGGTAATTTGACAAACGACCTCAGGACTTGACATTCTGGGCCGAAGTACTGGGTGAATAGTCATTAGAGAAATTTTAGGAAATCTTGGGTGGTGCAAATCTTACATTGCTGACGCACAGAATCCTTTTGCTTTGCTGATTAGGGTCCTTTGTCAAAGGAAATGCGGGCTTTTAAGTAAGGGACTGGCAGTCAGTCGCGTTTGAGAAGGAATTCATACGAACTGCCAAAAAGTGTGGATATCTTTGCATGAGCATACAACAGAGGTCGCTGTGCTAAATTTATGATTCCCTGCGCCCACCACGGTGTGAAGTGGCAGAACCATAGACGGTCCGTGCGGCCCCACCCGGGGGAAATGGTCACATTGCAACCCAGCTAATTCATCAACTCCGGCGCGTACGTGTACCGTGCGGACTCCCTAATAGCGTCAGCCAAGGAAGTGTCTTGTCGCGGGTGTCACTAGCGGCGCCAAATCACATTTGAAAGCCACTCGACTAAGGTCCACGCCAACCCACTTCGTACTCCTCTACTTCGATTCAATATTCTGGGCCGACCGATTATCGTGGGAGGGCGTAATGAGCTGCAGCTCCTTTGATTACTTACAGTCTGTCCTCGTTCACCAGAAATTAGGAGTAAAGTAACTCTCTGGATCGACATGAACTACGTTCTCTTCATTGGTGGGTCGAAGGGCCCACTCTGTGTGATTCATCCAAAAATAGAATAGATTCTCCTGGCGCTTAGTTCGAGCGCGATGCCTCGATAATGACCTCCTCAATAGCAGATGCCATCAGGCCGGGACGAAAACTTGGCCCTATAAATGCAATCTAGCCGGTTTACCACCATGTTCATCTTTTGGAGAACCGAGCCACAGTTTCAATCTTGTATCGGAGACCGCATAACCTGAAATCTAATTTCCCCGATCTAAAATGCCCTTTCTTAACCATGCTATGGTAAAACGGGTTCTGAGGCGACAACGAAAACCGTGTCCAGCTCCGACTCCTACTCCTGAGCTTCAACAACGAAATTCCTTTCCCAATGGAATCAAAACTCTCTGTAGTCCAGATGATGGGACAATTGAGTACGTACATTATTCGCTTATTAAACCTCTCTAATGTTATTCCAGCATCGTCTTCATTCATGGGTTGACTGGTGATCGTGAAGCTACATGGACTGCCGAAGGTGCAACCGAACCCTGGCCCAAGAGTCTCTTGCCATCCATACTCCCAACAGCTCGTATTCTCACATTCGGCTATGATGCATTTGTGGTTGATTGGCAACGCCCAGTTTCAGAGAACTTCATCGGCAATCATGCCTGGAATCTGTTGACATCTCTTTCATCGTACCGAGATAGCGACGACACAGTAAGACAACTGACTCTTTAATCTATCAGCGTTGTGGATTGTTGATACAAATAGAATGGACGACCTGTCATTTTTGTCTGCCATAGCCTGGGTGGACTAGTCTGCAAAGATGTACGGTATCGCATCACGATAGTGGAAGACACTGACAAAAATGATACTAATGCAAATGATAGGCCTTGTTTCAGTCGAGACAACGATCTGAGCAACATCTACGAAATATTCTCGATTGCACCCGCGGTATTATCTTTCTGGGAACGCCGCACCATGGAGCTGGACTTGCCAACGTGGCTGATGTCGTCTCTCGATCCATCGGTCTCCTTAAGCAGACGAATTCAAAAATCGTGGATGTCCTCAAGCGCGATTCTGAGGTACTTGCGCGGATCCAGGATGGCTTTCACACGATGATCAAGGCACACAGCACAGCAGAAACACCGCCGATTGAGGTCACTTGCTTTTACGAGGAGCTTCCGGTGCTAGGTGTTGGCTTAGTAAGCTAATAAAAAGGCCAGCGCTCCACTTTGATTGCTGACACCTAAGCAATAGGTCGTGCCACAAAGTTCGGCCATCTTGCCGGGTTATATCACTATTGGCATACATAGGAACCATATGGATATGACAAAGTTTGTCAATTACGAAGATCCCGGATTTGTGGCTGTATGCGGCGAGCTCCGTCGGTGGATTAGAGATACAGATATAAACCAGAGATATCACACCAAGCAATCGCCAGCCATCAAACCTTACGCTGCTTGTCAACATGGCAAAAACGGTCGACAATATAATCTGTTCGCTAATGGCGCGCAAAGGATTTCAGATGGGCACTACTTCGAGGCTAAAGGAGACCAGACCTTTGGTATGATTCCACCTAAGGGCCAGTAAAGAGTACGGGGGATTCATTGGAGCAAATGTATTATTTCTTTGGCAGTATCTCTAATTCTTATATCCATGAGTGTCTCCTGGTCAGCGTCTATATAAGGGAGAATCGAGTAATGTCACTCCAAAGTGGAGCAAATAGTAACAGTAAGTGGGCCGATCAAAATTTGCATCAGCAGCCAAGTGTGCTTTGCCCAATGAATGATCGTTCAATTTGCTATATTGTTTCCCTTTACCATAGGAACGCATTCACCAACAATATTGTAGTAAACGCAAAAAAAAATATTATGTACATATTTAATTAGTATTGGATATCTGAAGTAACTTACTATCAATCCTCAAATCGTCCACATAAGCTAAGTCGATCCCCGGGCTAGCCCGGACTCGGAATGGATCGGAGTGAGGGGCACAAGCAGGTTGAAAAAGATTTTTAACAAAGACGTGGGGGCTTCAGAGGTATAAGGGAATGCACGGGCCCGCACGCTTAGTGGAGAATGGTTTGTTTGAGTAGCCAATCGTGTATTATTGCAATAGATCAATTTTAATTTGACCGTATCTCTTCTACTGCACATTTTCCCGTTGATCACCCATCAAAAAAGTTCCATAGCGTTCAACAATGCATTAACACAACCGTTGATTAATCGAGCAAGCCAGGAGTATCAACAATCGACCGGTTAATTCCATCAAACTCTGGTTTATGGTCAAAAAAATACCCCCTATCCAAAAACACGGGCAGAGGGAGGTACGCATAGTTTTGAGTAGTAGTTTACATCCCAGGAGGAGTACATAGTAACAAAGTATTTTGCACTTCCTCCGTAACTTCTCGGCAATATCTGGATTTGTTGAACCATGTAGATCCTGGGGCATGCGCGATTGGGGAATTTATGCGCTTTGAACCATGGACTATGTACGTTGATTCTACGTACACTGCTGGTAAGTGATCGTTCTTTGTCTTTACGGTGAAGGTTCTGTTATTGTTGAGTAACCGGAAGGCGAGTGGGGCCATAACTGGACCGGCCCGTGGTTTGAGCCGCAGGTAGAAGCAAGGACGGTGGAAGCAGGGCCAGACGCAATACCAAACAGTGCCTATTGAGATGAGTTGGGGAGGAAACAAGTAGTCCAACGTAGGGACTTACAGTACAGGCCTAACTTAGCAGAAAGGTACCAACTAGGCTGAGAGGGACAAGAAAAAAACAAAAACAAAACGAAAAAAAAAAACGCTCAAGAGCGTTTATGGTGGGGGATGCCAGCGTAATAGGAACTGCACATGATGCAGATCAACACGGCAAGGGAGTGGGGTCAGTGGGTCTAGAACTTGGTCTTTGAGGGGGAGTCATCGTTTAAAGAACGGCCTTCGCCCTTTTAAGTCTTCATGGTCATTTTCTTTCTAACTGGCCGCCTACAGACGCGTTCAAGGTGCAGAGCCGTTCAATACTGAGGCTCTACGATCTCCTGTGCAGAGAAAGCTGTCAATAATCTGCTGACCTAGAAATCCCGCAAACAAGTATTTAATTTTGGGAGTCACAAAGCAGGACATTGGCCAAACACACCAATGCTGGTGAGGTCATGTTGAACGCAATTGAATGAAGAAGTTCGCAATGATATGATAGAAGAGGACAGCTTCTGGACGTTTGCGTTGCGGGATTTTACCATCTTAGAAACATGGCCTAGAACTATGACCCTTGGTCGCTAACCTGGGGGTACAGAGATGGGCATATGATTGGTTGATACCTGTCCAGAACCCCGGCCAGGTGCCTTTGTCCGTCGATCCGTTTGCTCGAATCTTCCAGAAGAAAAGCCTTCTGTTTACTATATAGGACATATCTTCGGTCGCACGCTTTGTAATCTGTAAGTATCATGGATGAAACTGTTCGAAGTATTTTAGCCCAGGCTATCCGAGATGCCTTCGCGTCTTCTGGTATCGATCCTAACGAAGAGTACATTGATTCATTGATTTCTAAAGTCGATAATGATGGTATGTTAGACACTCCATTCTGCGAATCAATCGGGCATTGACCGTACTCTAGTTTTTGGCACCAGTGATGGAACTGAAGACTCCATCTTAGAAATAAACGGCGAAATTCTTCACTGCGGAAGCGAGCCATATGCTATCGTTTCTCATGCCCTTTCCTTAGTCGATGTCATTTAGTCCGTTTATTGGCGGTAAAGACCATCGCACTGTCTGGGCAACAGTGGCATATTACCAATGCGTGTGAGAGCCCGCTACGATTGCCCCTTCAAGAATGATCGGCAGAATATGTAGCCCACCTGAGTGTTGATGTCTTGTTTCATCCCGTTCCTGACCGCTGATCTTGTGTTCTTCGTCATTCCTTACACCAGCTGTACGCTTCTGTCCTTTTAAGTTGTTAAATACTTATATTATCACTCTGGACTTAATGGTTTCTTCGTTCCCACTTGTTTTATCACAGTATCTACTGTTGTTCCATGATCCGGCCAACAGAGCTTATGCCATACCATCCAGAGTACCATTTCAATATGTAATATAAGACCATATGCATTAAACCTCATGCCCTTCGTCGGAGCTTTCCAGGACATGCCGACGTGGTGGGATACTCTAATCCCAGCAAAAGAAGTCTTAAACCAGCTTATCAAAGGCTGTGGAATTGCTATGCATAACGGTATATTTTTAGTATACGAGAAAGAGAGATTATGGGCGGAAAATAGCCTCTAGATACGGGGGCGGGCTCTCCTAGGAATATAATTCTCGAGTGATAACAGTTTAATAGCAGAAGAGGCAGAAAAACGGGTAGAGGAAAAGACTTGTTTGGAAGACAATAATAGCTGCGATGTAGAAGTGCCGGCGAGCGGTAAAACGCCTCTGCGGAGAGCCCCGACGAAGTGCACAGGGTGTGGAAAACAAGGACATAAAAGAACTGGGTGTCGTGAACTATGTGAATAGCTTCATATGGATGATATTGCGGTGGCTGTGATATTGATATGTTGATGTATGGCGGGAGACCCATCGCTTGGGGGTTACGTTAACTAAACCCGGGCGCATGCCCTGAAGAACAGACCATGTCGGAGGGCTAGTCTGCCCAGTCCATATTGATGCTGACATCGCTTGCATCGACACACTCGGTCATTCCTCTCTTCTTGAACTCTGAGCTGACTGCTTCATGAACCTTGCTGAGATAGGTCTTCTCTCCATGGACATCAATACCCAAAACCACACCTGTATGAATCATCTCATTAAAGCTCTCTCTCGCTAATTGGGATACTTCTTCGTCCGCGCAAAATGTGAGCTCTTTTAGACGAAATCTCCAGAAGACCCATCGAGAGATACTAAAGCCAGAGCTTTTAACATTTGCTTCGGCTGCCAGGCTTCCAGTTACGGTTCGAGCTTCGTGCTTAGACGTCAAAGAAACAGACGAGCAAGGGTTGTAATTCTCTGCTGCCATAGTAAGAAGTTTGAAATTTGCATTCGCCAGCCACGCAAAACAAGCGGGGAGTAAATCAGCGACCGTGGACTTTGGTGTTGAACCATCACCACATTGGGTTATATTATCATCTTGATTTGTATCATGTCTCAGAGGTATTTTTTCTTCGAGCGTCATTTTCAGCAGCCATAGAACAACGATACTCAATTCATTCTCAAACATCCCAGCCGCGTAAAGTTTGGCAGTGAATGCAGCGAAGCTTTTACGCTCACAGGAAGTGTATTGTTGCGATTTGGTAATCCATTCGTTCTGTAGGTCCAGTGCAAGAAACGGAAGATTTTCCCTTGATTGGTCACGGTGGGAAAGGGTAATATTCTGGGTTTGCCCCTCTTTACTCTCACTTCGATGACTGAACACTTGAAGTGCCTCTATGGTCAGAATCAGGACAACCAGTTTATCCTGTTCTGGACTTATCGCGGGGGTAGCTTTTGAAATTTGTATGAGAAAGTCCCACGCATCATGTAAGCCAGCTTCTAGCTGTGCGGAATTCCAGTGTTCTTGGTGGTAGTTTTCACCGATACTCAGAAACATGTTTCGAATGTCGTGAAATTTTTCTCCCAGGCCATGCTCTGTGCCGTGCTTGGAAATTGTATATTGGCCGGCAAAATCGATGTCAAAAGATTGTTCAGGCATTGTAAAAGAGGGCAATTTTAGGGTGTTGGGAAGCGCGGGAGCGGTGGTAAAGTAACGAGAAAGAAAACAACAATTAAGCTGCCTGGAGCCATATGCGGAGTACAGACATCCGATGTGGTGCTACTGCACATCCTTCCAGGTTTGTTCTCAATGCAGGTCTAGGGTAGCATATTGTGATCTTGGCATACAAGGGTATTAACCCCTCAATGATTTTTGTTCCATTTATTTGCCATTAATCTCTCATAGCATGTTCACAATAGGAACAGGTATAAATACCAGCTGCTCGTTGGTGACCTCTATGTTGTGTCAGCTTCTCTTGATATCTTTCTGGCCATAAAATAAACAATGAAGTTCCACACCATTCTTCTCGTGGTACTCCTCGAGCCGATGCTTTCACAGGCCTTTGCTCTCCCGGACAGTTCAGCCCAGAAATTTGACATCGCTAAGCTTGGAGATGATTATGACATCCATGAAAATCTCGATGACTCCCCATTCTCTGATGAGAGGTCCCCGAACGACAACCCTTTGACCCTTGAGAAGAAAGATACGGAAGCGGTAAAGCACCACCTTTCGGTCTTTGTTCATGAGACTCAACTAATAAATCCCCAGCGATGCCTAGGATATTGCGGTCCTTATGGATGTCACTGCTCTCGGCCTATACGAGTGTGTCCCTGTAATAAGGTCGGGGCGTTCCTGCACTTGCCCGTAATAAAGAGCACAGTATATATTGATGCGCCATTGGGGTGTTCTTTTTGATCGCAACAATTCCTCTCCTTGAAATCCGAGATCAACATGAGGGCTCATTCAAGCATATTATATTTTTGTTGGGCTGTGCTCCTCATTCTCTCGATTTTCATACGTACAGGGTCTCATGGTCAGCATCTATACCGGGAAATTCAAGTAGCTCCAAAGTGGAGCAAAGAATAGCCATAAGTGGGCCAATCAAATTTTATATCAGGGATCTTTCTCAAAATCGGCTTGACCGATACACATTCAATCACTCTGTTCCCGCCCCATTGACAAAGCTTTGGCGTGGATCATTCGTTAGGCTGGCCACAAGAAGTTGAAGGCCATTAAAAATATTGTTAGTATCGTATAGTGGGTGACACGGCTCATATCTCTCATGCTCTCACATTTGGGAAGGCCAAGGTAAAATAAAAGCGGTGGGTTAGCAGCCAACGCAGATTCAATTTGGTCTCCACAACAAGGATTAGCACCACGAAAAGGTATGAATCCATTGTTCCAACGGCCTGCCGAGGACTACCTGGATATAGCCTACATATTCCTAGGCTAGACTAAAGTGACTCCGGAGCTGTCTCAGTGGGCTCAAGGCGAGTGGGGCCGTAGCTGGACCGGCCCGTGATTCGAGCCGCAGGGGAAGCAAGGACGGTGGAAGTTATCTGAGAGAATGTACTCCGTACTGCACTAATCGATTGCTTCAACTGCCTGTCTTGCTCATTAGAATAGAAACTACCTCATTCGGCCCCCTTCTTTGTGAGGACTTTATTTGTTAGGCCCTCATTTGACATATTTCAGTTATAAATACCGTTGATCATCACTCAACGATAGTGTTCCTCTTATTCTTTATTTTTTTATTCCCATTTTAATTAGTCGGTTAAGCAAGAGTCCCCCATCAATTATGTGTTGAACGTGGTAAGACAGCAGCGAGTGTTGATACTACAAAGAAATTTTCATCAAGTGTCCATCACAAGTACTGTTGAGCGTTGATTAAACGGCCTCGCAATAGGTGTAGGTATAAAACCATCAATCAATGTATTCTCCAGATCACGTGCATTTGCTAAGTTAATAGTTCGTGACCCCCCAAATTGATACTCGAAATTTTTTTATCCCTCAACCTTGGTGCCTGATTTATTAGGCTTAACTGACTCTTTTGAGAATTGCTAATACCACCCCTCAAATGGCTAAACCCACCCCTTCTAAGCCGCTTTGGGAAATTCTGCCGTATTTGTAATATGAGCCCTTAACAAGGCGGTGTAATTTAAAATGGGCGGTCAGGCGAGGTCCAGGCGGATCCCAAGCTTATGGGAGCAGCTAGGTGCCGTTGAAGATGCTGTAGATCGTGAGTTTTATGAGCAATGGTCCCAACAAGGCTCACAGCAGCCAGCAACTCAGCAATCGCGGAGGAGACCCGATACGTGTGGAAATTGGGGCGTGGAGGGGCATAAAAGGCCTGGATGTCCGCAGATCAACAGATTTGCCAGTTAATTCGACTGAAAATGCATTTTCCGGTGTTTTTAAAATCAGCCCCTGTTTCCTCTTTAGGTTAAGCTTGGAATGAGATAACTTGCTTGCATATTAAATGTCGTTAAATGTGTGGTAAAATGGAAGCTTTTTACGTGGAGATTTAATTTAATTCTGGACCGTATTCATGCTGCCGGCAGAAAATTGATGCCTTTGTGCCTCGTGGTATTACAAATACGGCGGTGAGCTTAGAAGGGGTGGGTTTAGCCATTTGAGGGGTGGTATTAGCAATTCTCACTCTTTTGATCTGAGCGCCGAAATATGACTCAAGCGGGAGGGGAAGCAGGATCTACGGCCAATGCGGGGGATCCACCCACTCAGAACGGCTTAAGCCAAATGAAATGAAAGAACCCATCCGCAATCTCCTGCAAGCCGTGGGCCTAGGCCTAGAATGCTTGGACTAGGAGAGACGGAGCACTGAAAGCCAGCCCTTATGACGAATGGCCTTCTATGCCGCCTATGCTCTTCATTAAGTTAGGTCATTCTGTGACTAATTTCGTCCTCAGAGGAATTTTCTAAGAGCCAGACCCTCTCAAAAGAAGAATCCTGCTCTCGGGCTTCCAAGCCATATCTTTTAGGATGATCTACCCAAGAACAAGCTTTTATTAACACGTTCTCACGATTTCGCTCACGGTACGCTCTGCACAATTCCGGATTTCACATAAGAAATGGCTCCTATTTCTATCAGTCTCCCAATATGACTCTCGGACGGCATGGCTCATTTCTCCCATGCCCTCCCGCTGTGGGCTACACAGGTCTATATTTGGTCTAGAAAAGTTCTCGTGGCTCTTACTGGACGGCTAGGTGACTGTGGGGGCACTCCGGCCCAAGCTAGGGAAACCATCGTGACGAGTCGGCCTCGAATTTCTGCCCTCCACAGGTAGCTGCTGGACAACCCACGTCCCTTTGCCTGTCCCAGGAGCGGAACATGAGGCTATAGGAGCAGCGCAGTTCCCAGGGCCTTGTGAACCGTCTCTGGGATTGAAGGAAGAGTCTGTGGGAACAATAATGCTTGTTCCCGGGAGCTTTATTGCTCCTGGAATCACATATGCAGTTCCTGAAGATAGCCGTAGGTTCTCTGGGACCAAATAGAGTGTCCCCGAGTTAGAATTGCTCCGCCGCTTCCTATTGTGGGGACTGGGTGGTAACCAGTGGGGCTCGGGCGATTACGGCAATTAAATACGGCGTGTGTGGGTCTAACGTGTCTTTAGATGAGGAATGTGTCTTTCAAATGTATAATCAATATCGAGAAAGCTATGGTCGACTCTTGATACAAGACTTAGCGCGAGGAAGTAAATGATAGTTTTCCCGCGTTTAGGGAATCCAGAAGCGCCATGTTGGGCCTTCTCCTGCGCTTATCGTGTAATACCTTCTGTCAATCCCTGGTACTGTTGCAATCCCCTCTTAGCTCATTGATCGAGGTTTTATTGTTCCTGAGAGCTTAATCTGCTCTTGGATATCTGCAACAGATCCCCAGGACCGGCTGAAGCGAGTCCAGGATTGTATCAGTAGGTCCCAAGAGCCTTGTTGCTCCTAGATTTACAGGTAAAGTTCCCAGGGGCAGCCGTAGACCCCCCCCCAGTATTGGTTGGAATTCCCACGGAGTTGGCTCCACCTAGTGTAGCGAGCGATAATAATGATGGCTCAGTATTTTGGGGGTACCGCTAAGTGATTGGTGGGCATGGTGGAGCTCGATGGAAATAGAACGACTGTATCAAATGAACTCAGTGCCCTCATAAATGAGAGGACATGAGTGTTGCATGTCTATTACCACCAGTCACACAAACTCTGCATCTATGAAAATTAAGTCTATCATTAAAGCACGTCCACTCGAAAACGGCCGGTTCGAAAAGATAGGCCATTTAAAATCGGCAGCCACATCGAAAGATGATACAGACAATCCAGTATAATACTGGTCTTTGATATTGATATGAGAGTCATTGCTAGTCTATGTTTCTTTGAGATGTATGTGAATACTGTATAGCCCGTCACAGTTGCTCAAATCTTTGAGGCTAACGAGGATGAGTCGATCGATTTGCCGTTCAATTTAATGCGGGAAGAGTCCACGGCGATGTAGTAAGTATACGGGAAAGATCATGAATAAGGCAATTAATATCGATATGAGTGTGTAATGAACCTCCAGGCCTCCTCTTTTTTATGCAGGTATGCTGTGTTCTACCCACTCGCTTTTACATAAACGTACTCAAAAACTGATGGTGCACTGGTAAACACCAAGATCAAGCAACCTTCGGGCCTACAAATACCTCGTCCTGCCCTCGTGGTATTCTCTAGCTAACAATCGTTGCAGGTCCTTTCAGCGAGAGCAGTCCGATATTTTTGCGCGCGGGCGCTATTCCAAGAAAAGGACTCCAACTAGGCAGGTACGTCTGGTGAATTTCTCGTACGGTACCCGTGGAATGATCGCCCAGCAAAGTCTGAGGCATTTTAACAAACTAGACGGACAATGAGACAGGTAAGCATACTCTCTAAAGGAGAACTTCGCTGACTTTCATTGCGCACTTCACCTGCAGCGAAACGATAGAACATTCTGAAAGTAAATGGCTTGTTGGAGAATAGTCTGGGTCTGGCAAGTGATGTTATCGAGATGAAGAAATCAGAATGGTGGCTGCGTGCTCAGGATTTTGAAGGACCACATTTGTATATGTGCTGGGTCATATTTAGGTTCTGTCGCATCGGAGTGTAACTAGGCCAAATCGTGTTGATGCCTGAGGTGCAAATATAGTCACTGGAGCCAAGGATCGAGTAAGTTGGTAAGGCGGACTCCTCCATGACAGTTCATCCCCCTCGCCAGCCCACGGTCCACTACTCTGTTGACTTCGATCTGGTATCATTATATATTTTACTGAATATGTTGTTCAACAAGGAATGGGGAATAAACGAGGAATCACGACGTCGGCTCGAGGTGCAATAAAATTCATTGTTGATTCCAGGAAAAATGTTCTGCCGGAGCCGTGTTTGGCTGACTTCCCGCTCGTTGTCCAGGTGGTCCCATGCATTGTGACTTCCCATTCCAAGATGTCGATGGCTGACAACAGCTCTTCAGATTATAAATATCTCTATCTACAGGCGGAAGAGAGACGGAAGCAAGAGGAGGAGAGACGGAAGCAGGAAGAAGAGAGACGGAAGCAGGCAGAAGAACGCGAGAAGCAGGAAGCAGCAGGGAGACGTCAAGCAGAAGAGCGCAACCAGCAGACCTCTTTCACAGAGCTCTTACAGTACTGCCATAAGCTTCTCTCCCGCCAGTTGAGAGTCGAGACACCGTCTCGCTCAACCACTGGCAAAATTCCTCTTCCCACCGGAAAATATTGCCCAACTCGATTGGAACATTGGGCCGATTGCCCAGAGCAGCTGCTAAGAGTCTACAGGTCTGTCCACCAATATTTCCAGTCGGCACCGGAGCGGGCGCCACGTTTATTTTCGTCTCTA